TCTTGGCAACCAAACATAGGATAAAGTGTAAGGACTTAGGAAAAGATTGGTTGAATGGACTTGTATCCAAAATTTCAGATTTTCCAGTAGTTATTAGGAAGCCTTTTTATGCATAATGTACAGTTTATTGCAAATTTCAATCACTTGTGAAAGTAGTACAGCAATTATTGAACCTTTTTTTACTATTTCGTTGTTATTATTGTATATATGTTTGAATATTGTTGATGTAGCAAGTCTCATGATTGTTTTTTCCTTTATACCTTATGTGGATACATAATTTGAAACTTTGAACTAGCATTTAGAGACATCGTAGAGCATTCCTTGGCAGATTATCCTGTTAATTTAAGTTTTTCATGCATTTCACCTATCTTTTAGATTTGATATTCATTTGTTTCCAGAAAAAGAAGTCAATGGTCCAAATTTAATCAACAATTAAAACTAAGAATCTACAGTCACACAGACACACTTTCTCAATCTTTTGGTCCAACAGTGAGAAGTTGCAAAGCATGACGCGCGTATTTTATTTTGACTAACAATTATGATAACAAGGCTCCAAATTTCCCATCCTCCAGAACTTCTTAAGAACTCAATTGATTTATGCGAACCGAGCTGAGTAATTGGTTTATTTGAGTGAGTCAAGTTTGATCACAACTGTTCAAAAATTAACCAAGCTCAAACTAAGCTCAGACACTGCTTCTAACCAGCCAAGCTGAGCATAAGCTCTATAAAGTTGGCCTGACTCAGCTTGTTTACAGCCTACAAAATGGCTGATCTCATACTTAAATATGTCTCCTTATAGTGGCCAGTTTAAGCTTTCACCATGTCACCTGACCCTTTTTTTTTTATCAAATATATATATATATATATATATATATATATATAAAGTAGCATTTTGAATACTAAAGAGTTGAACTATCACAAAAATATACCAGGCCATGTAGAAATTCCCACGTCTTGAAGAACCGGCTGGCTGGTGATTGTCCCTTCCACTTCCAAAACCTTTTCTCCTTTTGCTGATTGAAATGCAGAAAGGAGAGATGACCCTGATTGGGTCTTCAATTTTCTTATTGCCCTTTAAGAAAGACAAAAAAATTAATATTTAGAAGTAGGATTTGATGTGACCTTATTTATAAATTCATGATAGGATAAATTATTTAAGCTTGAAACTTGAACGGAGACTCAAGAAAACGTCATCAGAATATCTCCCATCAGTTAACTGGACTCATGTACACTTATTTTTGTGAAAGTAACATGAATGTGTGAGATTTGTCAAACCACCAAATTACAAATTCTGAGTTTCAACAAGAGTATATCTAAAGAAAACAAGGGTTGAAGTAGTTTTTAGTTTAGCATACAGTTGCCAGTTTGAAGAGAGCCTTGCATTCCTAAGCATGCTAACTCTATTTTCTTTCATTAATTCTTTCTTTATTTCTTTGTTTCTGATGCACACTTTCTTATTTCTTTACACTTAGAATAGCCTTCCTTAATTTATAATTATAGTAACATAAAAGCTAAAGCATGTAGTTCCTATTTTGTAGCATAACTACTGCATAAGACTCAGCTTAAATGAAGACTGGACTTATAAATTTGAATATCTGTGTCATGTTCGATTTTCTATTAATAGTTAATAAGTTGGTGTATATGTCTTAAGATGACTGTTCGTGTTCATTCTAGCTTCTCGTGTTTATGGTTATCTTGTTCTGAGATTTGTAACTGTAATTCTTGTTTTGCAAACTAAATCCTATTTGGTGAAAATTTTTATGATCTTTTTTATATACGTTTTTTTTTTTTTTTTTTAATGAATTTTAGTTATAAATATTTGTGAAGATAATGACTGAAACAGGATCTCCCTTTGTAGGATTTGAAAGACTAATTGGTAAATTTGGGTTGAACTTTAGTCTTGAACAAGCTGAAGGCCCTTATTGTGGATTATAATTTTTACAATTGCAGCACCCTACGGTCTTACCATATTTTAGAGTACTTTCATCACTTCATACTGGTAAGTCATATCTTCAATTATTTAAATATATATATATATTTTATTCCAGTTTTTTTCATGCTAATAATAAATTGGATGTTAACCGCATGAAGGATAAATCTGTCAATTAAGACAGGCACCCAATTGTATATGAAACAAAGTACAATATAAAGTAACAAAATTTATTAATATATAAACAACAAAATTTTCATTTTTTTATTTTTTTATTTTCTTTTGTGTGTGTGTTTTTGTGTTTGAAGGTTGAAAGATTTGTGTAGTTATTCAGTTGTAGAAGCAACAAAAACACTTCCAGTGCTTCCCAAAAATAAAAATCATCATTATCATGGTGTTGTGATAAAAATTTATTTGAAAAAGGATAATTCTTAACTTATTTATTTGACTCGAGAAACTGATGTTATTAATATTTGTGGGCCAATTTGGGCGCTTAATTGGTAATTGATTGTGTGTTTGAATTTTGAATGTCCTAGATTCAAAGGTGGAAGCCACATAAACTTGCACTGAGAATGGCATAGACTTTATAAGTTGTAACCTTCCAGCACAAAATGAGTAGTTGGTAGTACAAAACTCCTCAATTAAAGGATCACAGTGCTGCTTATTCAGTCTATTAGACAATAATGAAACTCCCAAATATCTAATTGGGAGGGTCCTAATAGAGAAATTAAGCTTTCTGAGAATTAGGTTTTGAGTAGCAGTCTTTATACCAGATCAGAATATGACACCTCTTTGCATTATTTGGAATCAAGCTAGAAATAGAAGTTAAAACTAAATTGAGCTATTGATTCTGTCAGTATTTTAACAGATTCAACATCCCAGCTGCGATTAACATAAGATCATCAACAAAAAGGTCCATTACTTATCCTCTGAGCTGAGCATTTCCAATGGTAATCGAAACCCCCTAGAGTTATTCTCTAATTAAAAATACGAGGTAGAACCTTCATTCCCATAACAAATGGTATGAGGACATTGGATCCTTCCTCCTTCCCTATTAGGTAAACCATACGACCATTAACATCCAAGGAAAAGAACTTTAGAACAATTTCAATAAAAGAAATAAAAATAAAAACTGTAAGTGTTTTTTTTTTTTTTTCCTTTTATCTATTCGATTGGGTTAAGTGATGCTTTATATATGCTTCTTTTAGTGTGTTTTACCTATCATTAACGTGCTTAGTTGGATTAATTCCGAAGAATGTGTATTGAATTAATGAATTAGGAATATATGAGTACTCCCAAGTGCCTTTGTAAGCTAGCAGATTTGAGATTGAATCTTTTCAACATGTAATGTGTAGAAGTGCAAATTGGTAAATTTAAGTTGGACTGTTATGTCCATATATGTGCTCTATCCTTCCTTTTTGTATCTAATGTGCCTGTGTTGGTAATTTATTTGTAGATGTTGAATACCCGGTGTTCTCTAAATAAATTCAAGGAAACGGTTTGCAATTTAAGTGAAGACAAAAAGGTTGCCGTACAAGAGATTGGGTTTGGGTCCCTTTTAGACATCGAGTGTACCATTTTGAAGCGCAACCTGTGCTTATGGTTGGTAGAACACTTTGACCCTAGAACATCTCATCTCACCCTTGAATCTGGCGCTCGGATCCATGTTACGCCAAGTGACGTTGAAGAGGTACTTGGCCTACCCTCGGGAAGAGGAGAAGATGTGCCAAATTATATTGTACAAAGTGTGCATTGGTTAGAAAATGGCATTTTTTTAAAGGACGGTGTAATAGAAGTGCCAAACTTAGTGCATCAATTAGACGTTCTTCCTGTTGGGGATGACTTCAAGAGGGCTTTTGTCCTTTTCGCTTGCGGATCACTTCTAGCACCCATATCGAAAAATGAGACAAGCAAAAGGTTATTGGCAGCAGTTGACAATGTGGATGCTATTAAATCGTATAATTGGGGGAAGTTTGTTTTAGATTGGTTGAAAAAAGGAATTGCGTCCTATAAAGGAAAGGAAGGAAGAGAAGGTTGTACATACATACATGGATGCTTGTTCTTTCTCATGGTATGTTCTAAGATATAATATTTGTAATGTGTCTATCATTTTATTTTAAATAGCTATAATGTCATTATCATAATGCCTTATATGTTGTAGCTTTTCTACCTACACCGTGTGGATGTCAATGGACCAAAACCGAAGCCTGAGATGTCATGCCTACGTGGATGGACCAACAAATTAATAGGCGAGAGGTTGAATTTGGAGAAGCATAAATATAATGGTTTCGGCTTCGGTGAGGTAAAGTTTACAACTGATACATCTGAAGATGCCGATAAGGTAATCACGTCAATTATGGCTTTTTATAATTGGTACTAAATATATGGTTATATTTGCATATTCATAATTACTTGGAACTCTACGGTTACATTTATATATTAACTGATATATATATTTATTAAACTTGTTTAAAATTGTTAGGAGTTGGCATATGAAATTATTAAAGTTGTTAAGAAATGGAAGCAACGGCACAATGTAGGCCAAGGCAGGGGGTCGAGATCCTCAGAACCCAGTTCATCCACACGATAACCTAACCCATCTTCGCAATTGTTTGCACAACACCATCCGATGGAGGAGGAAGATGAATCCCACATACCAGTGGAGGAGGAATTCGAAACCTCCACAAGACAAGCAAACTCACCCTGGCAATCTTTTACAAAACACGATCCCATGGAGGAGGAAGGAGAAATCCCCGCACCAATGGAGGAGGAAGTGGGAACCTCCACAGCAATGGAAGAGGAGCGTGATGTGCAGGAAGCAGTGATCCCTTTATTACGTGTTATAAAGCCTGGGCGCCATAAGGGATCACCTTGGGTTGAAATGAAGGTCAACCGATTGCGTGTCCTTCGTCCAGAAGCAAAGGCAGTCATCTCATATGCCATGGATGAGAGCAGAAATGATGAGTGAGAAATTATATAAATAATTTCTTATTTGTTCTATATTTACTTACTTTCTATGCTCAAACACTTAATATGTTATTGTTTAATTATAGTGAAATGTTGGTGAACATAAATGATATTTTCCTCACAAGAAAAGAGATGAGAACAATCTCTTACAATCATTGGATATCAAATATGGTATGTTCACTTAAAGTTCATTGATTTTTCAAACCAATCACACGCATGCATTAATGGTTTAAATGTGATCATTGTAGGTGGTTGAAGTCTATTGCCAAATGCTCCAGCTGAAACAAAAGCGTAGAGGAACCAAATTTTTCTTTCCGCCTTCGATTGGGGTAACAAATTCTTCTATCTATAATGAGTGTTTGTTTGACACATATTAGGTTATCAATTGTGTGCATTTTCAGATTGAACTTTCCAAGATACCTTCAAAAGTGGTTGATAGGAAAGGTAAAATACAAGCAGTTTGGAACAAGTATAAAAGGATAAGGAATGTCGATGATAACAAAGTTCGCCAATTCAATATGGTAATATTTATCGCTTGGAAACATAAATAATTATTATACTTTTATCAAAAAAATATGATTCTAAAAGTAATTAAATTTTTACATTGTTAAATATGCAGCTTTTCTTTCCAACACTTGTAAATGAGAAACATTGGTGCTTGTATGTCTTTAACATTTGCGATAGTCGTATGGATGTGTTGGATTCAATGAAGCAATGTTCGCATGATAAGCGTACTCCAGACAAGATGTCAAAAGATTTGGTAAACGCTTATTACATATGAGCTCATTTTTTTGATTATGTATTCATTTACTGTTAAATTAGGACGGTAAAGTATACAAGTTGAAGAACGTGGTACTGAATTTTTTACTCTAATCATTTATATATTGTGCATTTGTAGGTAATGTTGGTTGAGATATTCACCGGAAGAGATCTACAAAACTTCATATACAATGTGCCCAACGTACCTCAACAGCTCGATAGGTGATTTTATCACTTAATGTTCCTAGTTTGGTGTACTGATTATGTTCACAATTATAATTAACAGATACCTAAACAGTCTTTTATTCAGTGATAGTTGTGGTGCTTTCATGTTGGACTTCATGGAGAAATGGGATGGTTCACTCAGTCACCCAAAAGAGAAGGTGAAGCCCAATTCTATTTTTTACATGGGTCTTATTTATTTTTTTCCCCGAATGAAGAAAATACTAAATTACTAAATCACACAATCTCCTCGATACTCTTCGTTAATCATTTAATTCTCCGTTTTCTTCTAAACCATTGGTGCATTGTTAATCTAAGCACCCACTGGTCATTAGTCTTCAAAGGAAGAAATGGGTCTTGCCTTTAAAGGTTTCAAAAAATATATTTGTAAAACTGATCCACATTCCTACATACTTTTGTTCAAGGGTTGAAACTGGAGGGTCTTCAATTCCAATACATGCAAACATAATTTAAAAAATTAATGCAACCACAAAATGCATCCACTATAAAGTTTTCCTTCCTCTTCACTGCACTCCCCATTCTGTTTTTACACGTTTTCCAGCTTATACCTTTCTTTTTTCTTTTTGCATCTTTTAAACCCATGTTTGTGTGCAAGTACTTCGCTTTCCGATCTCTCCCCGCTAGGCTGCAATGTCGTAGTGTCAATAGCGGGAAGACCAGGGGACTACGGCACGTGTTGAAACAAAGAGAGCGGTAAGCACCCCCTTTAGGCAACAAAATTTTCAACCTTAGAACCCCCTAATGCAGTATACCCTTAATGTGTGCCATTTTTTGGAAAGAGAAAGCATCCAGCTCTAGTGAGTACGGATCTAACATGAAGTAAGCAATAAAATGAACCATGTAATGAATGATATAGAAAATGTTTGACATCCACTGTATAATGGGTCCTATCGAGTAGAAACCAGCTTTGCTAGATGAGGTTTAAATGAATAGCATACTCTTAAATATTTTCAGACAGTTTTTCATTGTCAAAGAATTCAGTATGAGATCAGTAGCTTAAATCATCAGTCAACCTTGTTTTTCCTACATCACCTAACCAATTAGATACGCAAATACTGGACTCCTGTCATTTTAAATGAACATATTGCAGTTTATATGGTCACTTCACTGTACTTAGTGGTGCTCATTAAAAATGAACCGAACACAAAAGATACTGAAACTACGACATATTGAAATGAATGATTAAAAAATTTCAAAATAAATAGTCACTTTAAGATTACTTTTGGAATGTCAGAAAAAAGGTGCGTGCCATTGAGTGTTTGGAATCAGTAAAAAGGGATAACTATTTTGGGACAGGGAGATCTTTCGTATTATTAGATTTGTTTTGGTTTTGTTTATGTTCTGTCTCTGTGCTGATCTGACCAAATTGCTAACATATTTCCCAAGGATGAAGCTACCTGTTTATGCAATATTTCACATATAAAAGTTTAGTATCACCGAGATTTTGTGCATATGCCAAATTCAACATTGTTGAAAAAGTTTTCTTTATCAAATATATAGTTTCTGCAACACTAGATTCCTATCTATTTACACTTATATGTATTCACGCATGAAGTCCATTTCCCTATCCTATATTCATGATTTGTCTTTACCTGGTTTAATTTGCAGGTGGACGTTGATAGATTACGTGCAATTATTGCTTCAAATTTGCTTTCAGATGACAATAACAAAATGAAGGATTTTGTAAAGAACAAAGCACTTTATCCATTTGGTCAAGCATGTTGATTTCAAGTAAGCTTCCATCAGCTTACTTGTGGTTAGTAATTTTTTTTATTTTTTTTTATTTTTATGATTCTAACATCACCTCCATCAGCCAACAAGGTACCATTTACCTCAAGGAACCTCACATACCAGTATTTGCCCAGTTGGAAGCTAGAGGAAGTGGGATAGGAGGATCATTGAATTTTCTAAAAAGTGGTACCTGAAATGATGTGGGATATGGGACATTTGTAATGTTGAATAGTGTCATTTTTTTTTGCATGTATTTTGCACTCTGTTGGTGTTAGCTATTTTTAAAGTTTTAAAGAATAGTAGCTTTGCAACTTTTGATTGTGGATTAGGTTGGTATATTTTTGCAACTATTGTATGGCTTATTATATTGGCATCTACCTTACATGAAATCAAATGAAGTTGCTCTTTTGGGTTTTCAGGAATTAGTATTGTATGGCTTATTATATTAGGGTCTCAATAAAATTTCTTTCACTACTATATTAATGTACTAATTTCAAATTTGATGGAGTTTAAAACTGAAGCAGTTTATAATGAATGAAAAATTGGTTTGGATCTTCCTTGGTTCCATGGTGTCGATAAATGGATAGTTTAATGAATGAAAAATTGGTTTGGATCTTCCTTAGAGAAAACGTGGTACCTTGACGCCAAAAAGAAGTACATTCAGTTCAAAAACGTGGTCCCATTAGGAAAAAAGTGGTACCTTTACAAAAGGTACCTATTTTTGCAATTGAAAATGGTATTACACCCCACATCGCTAATTAAGTTGCACGTTACATCCACAAACAGCTCCATTAGCGCCATGAATAAGTGTTTAGAGAAAACGTGGTACCTTGACGCCAAAAATGAGTACCTTTAGTTCAAAAACGTGGTACCTTTGGAAAAAAAGTGGCACCTTCGCAAAAGGAATTTATTTTTGCAGTTGAAAATGGTATTATACCCCACACCGCTAAATAGGTTGCACATTACATCCATAAATAAGTGTTTAGAGAAAACGTGGTACCTTGACGCCAAAAAGAAGTACCTTCAGTTCAAAAAACGTGGTCCCTTTGGGAAAAAAGTAGTACCATTACAAAAGGGACTTATTTTTGCAATTGAAAATGGTATACCCCACATCGCTAATTAAGTTGCACATTACATCCACAAACAGCTCCATTAGCGCCATGAATAAGTGTTTAGAGAAAACGTGGTACCTTGACGCCAAAAATGAGTACCTTCAGTTCAAAAATGTGGTACCTTTGGAAAAAAAGTGGTACCTTCGCAAAAGGAATTTATTTTTGCAGTTGAAAATGGTATTATACCCCACACCGCTAAATAGGTTGCACATTACATACATAAATAAGTGTTTAGAGAAAACGTGGTACCTTGACGCCAAAAAGAAGTACCTTCAGTTCAAAAAACGTGGTCCCTTTGGGAAAAAAGTAGTACCTTTACAAAAGGGACTTATTTTTGCAATTGAAAATGGTATACCCCAAATCGCTAATTAAGTTGCACATTACATCCACAAACAGCTCCATTAGCGCCATGAATAAGTGTTTAGAGAAAACGTGGTACCTTGACGCCAAAAATGAGTACCTTCAGTTCAAAAACGTGGTACCTTTGGAAAAAAAGTGGTACATTCGCAAAAGGAATTTATTTTTGCAGTTGAAAATGGTATTAGACCCCACATCGCTAAATAGGTTGCACATTACATCCATAAATAAATCCATTAGCGCCATGAATAAGTGTTTAGAGAAAACGTGGTACCTTGACGCCAAAAAGAAGTACCTTCAGTTCAAAAAACGTGGTCCCTTTGGGAAAAAAGTAGTACCTTTACAAAAGGGACTTATTTTTGCAATTGAAAATGGTATACCCCGCATCGCTAATTAAGTTGCACATTACATCCATAAACAGCTCTATTAGCGCTATGAATAGTTTAGAGAAAATGTGGTACCTTGACGCTAAAAACTAGTACCTTCAGTTCAAAAATGTGGTACCTTTGGAAAAAAAGTGGTACCTTCGCAAAAGGAATTTATTTTTGCAGTTGAAAATGGTATTATACCCCACACCGCTAAATAGGTTGCACATTACATCCATAAATAAGTGTTTAGAGAAAACGTGGTACCTTGACGCCAAAAAGAAGTACCTTCAGTTCAAAAAACGTGGTCCCTTTGGGAAAAAAGTAGTACCTTTACAAAAGGGACTTATTTTTGCAATTGAAAATGGTATACCCCACATCGCTAATTAAGTTGCACATTACGTCCATAAACAGCTCTATTAGCGCTATGAAGAGTTTAGAGAAAATGTGGTACCTTGACTCTAAAAACTAGTACTTTCAGTTCAAAAACGTGGTACCTTTGGAAAAAAAGTGGTACCTTCACAAAAGGAATTTATTTTTGCAGTTGAAAATGGTATTATACCCCACACCGCTAAATAGGTTGCACATTACATCCATAAATAAATCCATTAGCGTCATGAATAAGTGTTTAGAGAAAACGTGGTACCTTGACACCAAAAAGAAGTACCTTCAGTTCAAAAAACGTGGTCCCTTTGGGAAAAAAGTAGTACCTTTACAAAAGGGACTTATTTTTGCAATTGAAAATGGTATACCCCACATCGCTAATTAAGTTGCACATTACATCCACAAACAGCTCCATTAGCGCCATGAATAAGTGTTTAGAGAAAACGTGGTACCTTGACGCCAAAAATGAGTACCTTCAGTTCAAAAACGTGGTACCTTTGGAAAAAAAGTGGTACCTTCGCAAAAGGA